GAAAGGTCACAGGTTCGATTCCGGCCAGGTCAGCATATATACGGGAGGCAGCCAATTGATGTGTTTTTCTCAAATCAATGTTTCTCTCTTTCTCTCTGTCTCTTTCTCCCCCTCTCCCTCCTTCCCTCCCTTCCACTCTATGTAAAATCAGTGGAAAAATATCCTCAGGTGAGAATAAACCAACAAAACCCCACAAAACTGTTGGGCCAGAGCTGCTTGTCTGATCCCTCTGGGGCTGCCATTTGCCTTCCCCTTCCCCTCCCCCAGAGCAGTGTCCTCTTGGGAAATGCAGCTGACCCAGCTGCATCCGTGGGAAGACCTGGCCCCCACACTTCACCCTCCTGGCCCTGCAGGGGCCACAGGAAATGACCCTCTTAGCAGCCACGAGCTGCAATCCGGAGGACAATGACAGAGGGACGGAAGCCTGTTTGTCCCAGCTAACTTGTCCCCTTGGATGGATGCCAGCTGCTAGAAACATAAAACTGAAGATTTAGTGGGAAAAAGTATTTTTTTAAAAAACAAACAAACAATCCTATGAGTTTGAGCCAACTTCTGAGGCTCTGAGGGGTTTTGTTTTCTTTATTTGTGTGTGTGTGTGTTTAAAAGATAGATAAGGCTCAGAGAATCAAAGAATCTAAGGTTTGGAAGGTCAGCCGTCCCACCCAAGCAGCAGGCGCCCCTGTGGTGTCCATCTTCATGTGGCTGGCCCTACCTCTCCACATGGCTGGCTGTTAATTACATCACTTGGCTCTGGCCACTGTCCCTCCCTACCTCTACTCACCACTTAGAAGCTGGAAAGCTCTTCTCAAAACCAAATCGAGTCCCCCTTTCTGGGGTTCTGCAGGCTGGCTCTATCATTCTTCAGTCTTAGCTCACTTTTGCTACGAGGCTTCCAGACCACTCTCTATGAAATAGCACCTCTCAGTCTTTCACTCTTAAAGCATTCAATGCACTTAACCACATTTAAAATGGCCTTGTTTGTTCACACATGCTTGGTGCATAATAGGTTCTCAATAAATGTTTGTTGACTGAATATTTTTCAGTGGTTGTAGCATTCAGAAGAGAGTTGGATCAGAGAATTCAGATTTCATTGTATTTCAACAAACATTATTGGTTACAAACTGCACCAGGACTGAGAGGCAAACCAGGAATTCCACTAATTCATTCATTCATTCATTCATTCATTCATTCATTCATTCATTTGGAGGGGAGAGCCCTGAACAGATAGTGGCTCAGTCTGGGAGTGCAGAGACTCAAGAAAACTTCATGGAGGAGGAGATTTGAGGTGGGTTTTCTATCAAAGAGAAGCCAGGTGGTGTTGGGGGGCACTGTTCAGCTTGAGGAAACAACCTGAACAAAGGTTCGAAAGTGTGAATGGGAATGTGTGCGGAAAAGGAAGAGAACTGTGGAGTGTGGAATTTAATTGATTCCCACTTTGAACCCCCAGGGAAGGCAGAGACCTGGTTTTATCTGGGGCTGCAGGGAGGATGCTCCACCTTGTTTGCTGAAGCAATGGAAGGATGAATGTGAATGCCTAAGGTGGGGGTGGGGAGTGAAGCTGTTCTGTTGCCCTGGAGGCCTTGAATGCCGCGCTAAGCAGTCCAGATTTTCATCTATAGGTAACAGAGTCTAATAAAACTAATGAGTTTGATAAACCTGTTTTAAGAGCCTGGATGTCACTGAATCCTGAACTCCAGTTCTCTAAAGATGCAGACAGACTATCCCAGGATGCTTCTGGAAAATATAGCTGCTTGGGCCCCATTCTGGAAGAGTCTGATTCTAAGTTGCAGTTGAGCCTGGTCATCTGCCTTTTCACAACCTTTCCACATGTTCTCATCATCCACCAGGTTTTTGTGACCATGGAGGCTCAGAGAGGCGAAGGCATTTGCCCAGGGTCATAGCCAGACAGCCGCAAAAGGGGCATTTGGACCAGGTCTGCCTGGCTTGCCCGCTTCATCTGCAGCCTCCCTCTGCGCTAGCTTCTTGCTCCAGCTTTATTTTCCCCTGGATGCAAGAATCTAAGCCATGGCTGGGTCTGCTCCCCCCCTTGTTCTCCCTTCCCCTCCCCACCCCCAGTCTGAAAGGTCAGGTACGTCCCAGCCTTCCTCGGGCATGTCCATTTATGGCTCTGTTGTTCCAAAATGTGGCCAAATTTATAAACTCCCCTTTCCCGGAGACACGAAACAATTTGTGCAGAGTGCAGTGCGGGGGCAGGGCTGGGAGCTTCGTCTGAGGCCTGGACTTCAGCCCGGGCCCAGGCCCAATGAGCTCTGGCGTTGGACGGGCCCCCGCCACTCCCTGCGCCTCAGTTTCTCCACCTACAGAGCAAAGGAACTGGTCTAGATCGATCTTTAAGTCCTTCCCAAGTCTAGATACATCCAGTTTCCCGCTTACAAATGCCAATTCCTTAACCAGGGGCCCAACGATTGCAAAGGAAGGTGCTAGAGGATGGACTGCAGCCTCTTTTGCATGATTTCCTTCCTTTTCTCTTTTTTTGCTTGATTTATTTTTTAACTAAAAAAATTACCCAAAGAATCAACTTTCACTGTAAAGTAATAGGCACTCTCTCCAGTCACCCATTGGACTGATTGTTACAAGTGTGGGTGGAGCACCCAGGACAGATTATTTGCACATATGTATACAAGTATTCATGCTTGTACAGGAGGGGTTTTATTTCACTTATTTTTTACATAAATGGAATTGTATATTTTGTTCGGCATCTTACTGTTTTAATTTAATTTTTATCTCTTTTTCTGCATTCGTCTGTAAAGAGTTTGAGATAAAGTTTACATACCATAAAATTCGCTCGCTGTGAGTGTATAGTTCAGTGATTTTTAGTAGATTTATAGAGCTGTGCTACCATCACCACGAACCAGTTTTAGAACATTTCCACAACCCCCAAAAGGGCCATTATGCCCATTTTTTAAGTCAATCCCCAGTGTCTCTTCCAGCCCCAAGCAACCACTGAACTTTCTGTTGCTACGGGTTTGCTTCTTCTGGACATTTCACATAAGTGAAATCATACAACGTGTGATCTTTGCATCTGCCTTCTTTTATTAACATAACTATTTGAAGATTCATCCTCAGGGTGTGTCGTTTTCATTGCTAGTATCCCATTGTATAGGGAGACTATAGTTTCTTATCCATTTACCAGTGGGTGGGCACTTGGACTGCTTCCAACTTGGGGCTATTATGAAAAATATTGTTATAAACATTCACATACAAGTCTTTGTTTGGGCATGTGTTCACATTTTTCTTGGGTGGGTACCTCCGTCCTAACCTTTTAAACTGCTGTGGCATTCTCCTTTGGAAGGATGCATCCTGATGTCATAACCTGTCTCCTATAAGTGGTCTAGTGTCCCCTAGTGTTGCCAAGGTCTCACTCTCACGAACCCTGCTGCTCTGAGCTTCTTGGCCGATTCCTCTTTGGGCACGTGTGCAAGGAGAGAGGTGGCTGGGTCACAAAGTATGTACATTTTATATTTGTTTAATTGTTGCCAAATGATAACATGACAATCTTAGCTCCTCTTCAAAGGAACAGGGAATGGCGAGAGAAGGCAAGGAGGAGAAAGAAAGAGAGAGAACCATTGTAAAGATCTCACCACCACTCTCACTCTGCCCACTGAGCTCGAGGGACTAAACAAAGACGAGAAAGGCCACTTCTGGGGAAAAGTCCCCAGGGTGCAGGGTAGGGCAGTCCCAGGATGGCTGAGGCCAGGCAGGAGAAAGAAGAGGTTGGGATAAAGAAAACCCTTTCTCCCAAGTTTCTGCTTTACAAGCCTGTTAGGTAGTGAGCTCTCTGTCACTGGAAGTATGTAAATGGAAGCTGGCCAACCATTTGGAAGAGGCTGTAAAGGACTTCTTAGAATCTTATAGAAAATTGAGATACGTAACCTCTGACGCAGCAGTGTGGCTGAGATGTTAAGAACAGGGGCTTCACTGGCAGGGCCTGCGGTTCAAACCCAGCCTCTATTCCCTAACTCAGTGTGATGCTAGGAGAGTACATTCAGCACCCTTAGCCTCAATTCTTCCAGCTCTAAGGATAGACTCTGGGCATGTGTGGGCAGGGGTCAATGACATCAGGTGGGTGGGGCTCAATTGTAGGACCTATGATTATGACTCCCTTAGTCCTGTCACCACAAGCTGTGCTGTCTGGGGACCCCGGAAACTGGGCGTGAGAAGACAGTGATGTGCGCTCAGTAGTTTAGAGAAGAAACGCCGTGAAGGACCCTCATGGTGTGGGATTCACATCCGGGCCTCCCTATTTCCAGCCACGTGGCCTTGGGNCTAGAGAAGAAATGCCGTGAAGGACCCTCATGGTGTGGGGTTCACATCCGGGCCTCCCTATTTCCAGCCACGTGGCCTTGGGCAAGGATTTAATCTGTGACTCAGTGTCCTCACCTGTATAACAGTAAGAATACCAACCTCGTACGGCTGTTGGATAGGGAGGAGAGGTTAAACTTCGTGTGATAGAAAATCCCAATATAACAGTGGCTCGCCCAAGAGGGTAATTTCTTTCTCTCATGTACTAGAAGTCTAGAGATGGGCAGGTGAGCTGTCCAAGGCCGACAGCCCATGGAGTAGTTAGGGATCTAGTTCCAGTTCTTCCGACTTTAGTGTGTGGCCTTAGTCGTCTATCCAGTGGGCAGCCAGAGATCCAGCCATCACGTCTGTATTCAGAGAGCAGGATGGAGGACGAGGGGACAAGGGGGCAAAGAGCAGGCATCTTTACAAGGTTTCCCCAACTGTCACCGGACATTTCCACGTAGGTCTCATTGACTAGAACTTCATCAACTGGCTATACTAGGGGATGGATATTGGGTAGACAGGGAACAGCTTTGTCTGTTTCTTCCAGCCCCCAAGTAACCACTCCTTTTATTTTTATTGTATTTACTGATTGATTTTTAGAGAGAGGGGACAGGAGAGAGAGAGAGAAACATCGATGTGTTGTTCCACTTATTTATGCATTCATTGGGTGATTCTTGTATGTGCCCTGACCGGGGATTCAACCCACAACCTTGATGTATCAGGACGTTGCTCTAACCAACTGAACTACCCGGCCAGGGCACTATTCGGACTCTTTGCCGTAGATTTATCTCACTTGTTCTAGAACTTTATACAAATGTCATCACACAGAACATTCTCTTGTATCTGGTTTATTTTGTTCAACATTGTATTCATAAATTCCTGAGGTGTTTGAAAACTCTCCATCCAGAAAGACACATTCAACATTCAGTCTTTCATTAATTTCTTTCATTATAGAGCCACTCATTCAACAAATATTTCTTGAGCCCCTATTGTATGAGGAGAGCTGGCCTAACAGTCACCCGTGGCAAAGACTGATGAACTGTGAGTCCCCCAGGATGTTATCTGACCCCAAAATATTTGGCAACAACTCTCTTCTGAACTCCCCTTGCATCACATAGAATCCCTGGTACACAGAGGCCACACAGCCCGGTGGTAAGGAGCTCAGGCTCTGGCATCCATGGATGGGCACTTAGTAGATGCTTAATAAACAGTGACTGTGACTATTTTGTTGGCATGGGAGCATTGTAAAGAGCAAAGCCCTCTTTTTTAATCCTTCACTGGCCCTATAAGGTAGGCACCACTACAATCTATGTTTTACTAATGAGGGAAGGATGCTCAGAGAGGTAAGGTAACTCTCCAGAGGTTGCACAGCTGATGAGTGGCTGAGGCGGGATTCAAACCTAGTCCTATTGAGTTTGAGCTTTCATCTCTGCTCTGCGGAATCAGCTCACTCCTCCTCGCCTTTCTTTAAGCCTTGACCCACTCAAGGGAGAGCCCAGAATCGCCATGGACCAAGGCTGTGCATTTTGCTCTGCCATTTCTTAGTTGTCTTTCTTCCACTTTGGGGCCCAACCCAAGATGTTTTCCTGGCTTTGGATCTTGTCTGTTTCAGCTTAAAATCATGTTGGAGGGGGTGGGAAAGGCATGACTCGCCAGCAGCTCCTCCCCATCCCCATCCAATGCCTTGGGCCTGGGTTCTAGATAGTGTCACTACAATTTGTCCCCCTTCATCCTGCTCCTTGGGGACTGTCCACCTCGGGGCCCTCCTGGGACCTACACTCCAAACTTCTTTCAAGTGGCCCCAAACAGCAGCTTTTTCCTAAATGATGGGAATGAGATTACACATGTGGGTCAGTTGTTACCAACGCCCTGACTCACCCAGCTCATTCCTGTGAATGAATGAGCCTTTTATTTTAACTGCTGGCTTTTAAAGGACCCATACATCTGTTTTTCTGACCACGTAAAATCTATTAGAGAGGGGGAAAATGTGGTTCAAAGAAATAGTTAAGTTTTCTCCATGGGAGAGAATTTTCCAGGGAAGAAAATATGTTGACCTTATGATACAGTTGAGTGGCTTTCAAAAAATATTTTTTTCAGCACATGAACCCTTTTACAGAGGCTACTTAAGCTGAAGCTCAGCGTACAAACGGTAAGAGGGGAGCTTCTGTGATAGAGGGAGGAGGGGTGGGGTTGCCGAGTGAAGCAGCTTCCCTCTCACTCCCGAGCCACCCGTTTCTCTCTGAAACCTGCCACTGGGTGTGGCACCCAGTTTGAGAACCTCTGACAGCACCCTGACCCAGGATTATCCTTTCCTAGCGCGTGACCGTAGGAAAGGGAGCAGGATTCTCTGGAGTCCGTTTTCCCACCTGGGAAATGACACGGTTGTCCTAAATATTTCCTAAACTTCTTTCCAGTTCTAAGATTCGGTGTGACTGAGGACCATTCAATCTGAAGTGGCAAACTGTTGGAAATATAGACTTTTTGAAAAAAGAAAAACAAAAAGAAAAACAGAGTCCTCTTGTTTGAGAAGATCCAGCAACAAACCGACGGCTATAAAAGTGTTTTCCAAGTTAGAAGTGCTGTGGCCCTCCCTGCAGGAATTGATAGAAAATGACCAATAATTTCATTTGCTTCATTATTAGAAAGTAGGTTAAGTCAAATCACTATGCTGTATGCCTTAAACTTACACAGTGCTACATGTCAATTATATTTCAATAAAACTGAGGAAAATATTAAAATGTAAAAAAAAAGTAAAAAAAAAAAAAATACTACCCAAGAAATATCACTCCCAAAATCAGTGCAAAAATCAATTCATCAGTAACCCTTCCCTCATGCTCAGTATATGACATGTACTAAGTAATGAAAAGTACTTAGTAATGAGAAATCAAACTAAATGTTGCTATAGACTGTTTTTAAAAATCAAACATATACATACATCTAGAATTGCCAACTGTTCTCCTTTGCTCAGGCTGAGCGGTTTCTTGGGACACAGGACTTTCAGCATTAAAACCAGGAAAATCCCAGGCACACAGACATGAGTTGCTCACCCACCTTTTCACACAGCAGTTACTATGTGCCATTTTTTCGCATGTTCTCTTTTAATCTGCATCACAACCTTATGAGGTAAGTACTATTATTATCTTCATTTTACAGATCCTCAGGGAAACTAAAGCTCAGAGAGGTTAAGTGGCTTTTCCAAGGCCACTTGGAAAAGAGCTGGCTGGTGGCAGAGCCAAGATGAAAATCCACAGTGTGGCTCTGGTGCCTGTAATTGCTACATCACACTGTTTTATTCCTAAATTGTGTCTTTGGTGAATGATAGAGCTGTGGCCAGTCTGTGACACTCAGGAGACCCAGGCCTGGCTCTCTGTGTAATATTGAGGGGCCCCAGCATCTCTGGATCCTGCTTTCAGTTCAGTGAAATGAAGGGGCTGGTCTGGAACAGTGGTTTTTCCCACTTTTTTAAGCAGTAGAGCTTGTCAGACAATAAGGACCCCAATATATAAAACAGATCATAGCCATAAAGTTTACATATTCAAGGTTTAGCTAAAAATTCTTCATGGTGTACAGAAATTCCTGAAACTCTGCCCCGTAGCCCGAGGCTTCCAAAAGCAGAGTGTGAAAACTTGCGGTTTAATTGTTCTCTAAGGACCTTTTAGGCTTTAAAATGAAATCCAACTTTTAATTTGAGCATTTCATTCGTTCATGCTGCAAAAATGTTGGAGCTGCATAAGATTTGCCAGGCACTGGTTCAGACCCTGGAGCCTCGGAGATGAACCAGACCAGGGTTCCTCCACTGTGGCACGATTGTCATGTGGGGCTGGAAAATTCTGTTTTGTCCTGTGCATTGTAGAATGTTAGCAGCATTCCTGGCATCTACTCACTAGATGCCAGTAGCACCTGCCCAGTTGTGACAGCCCAGAATGTCCCCACTCGTTGCCAAATGTTCCCTGGGGGTAAAATTCAACCCTGGTTAAGAATTACTGAGCTAAACTAATGAAGATCTCTCATCTCATGAGCTTATTATGTTCCCCGGGGAGAAGCAGGCAAACATATTTAAAAAAAGAAATTACCAGAGAATGATAAACACACGATAAAACAAAAACAGGGTGCTGAGACGTGTTACTGGGGGGCTTCAGGTTGGGTGGGCAGAAAAGTGTCTCTGAGGGGCTCTTTGATCTGGAACTGAATGTCCGGCAGGAAGGGGCCAGTCATGAAAAAACCTGAAGGAAGGAGTGTGCTTCAGTCACAGGAAGCAGTGGAAAAAAACGAAGGCCAGTGCTAGGAGCACCTATGATGAGGGGTGGGGGAGGGAGAGGTGAGCTGAGTGGGGAGTGGAAGGGAGGTAGAAACAGGGAGTATTAGATCTCTGAGGGCCCTCGTAGGCCACGGGAAGGAGGTTTGATTTTATTTTTAAATATGAGCATCTGCTGTGTGTTCCTGGGCCAGATGCTGGGGACACAAATGTGAGTAAGGTAGTTTACTTGTGAGCCCACAGAGGATGAGGCAATTGCTTCTATCTGGGGTGAGTCTAGGAAGGCTTCATGGTGGAGGTGACGTCGGAGCTTACTTGAAGAATGAACAAGAACCCATCATGTGATGAAAAGGGGGCAGCAGAAGTTGCTTCCCACGCCTTATGCAAGTGATTCTCTCTGCGCAAGCTGTTAAATTGCTGACTCTTGTGCCCTATCCCCAGAGGTACTGGGGCCCAGGAATCTGTATTTGACCAGTATTATAATGATTCTGAAGCAGGTGGGGGGGGGCCCACTTTGAGAATGGTGTTCTGTGGCTTTCATGCCACTTGTCTAGTGCTCAGTGGAGTTATGAATGTCTTGACAAGTATTGTTTTAATTGGTTAGTATTCACTGGTCTATTGTGTAGCAGAACTCAGAGATAGAAGAGAAAGGCAGAAGGACCCAGTCTCTGCCTTGCTGCACCCCCAGGTACTCCCTTCTCTAGTTCAGCAGGTCCTTGAATAATGCTATTTAATTTTATGTCATTTCATTATATGTTGATGAGAAAAAAAATTGATTCCTGGCTGGGGCCACTCCCTGTTGAGTTTGCACAGACTCCCAATGTCTGCGTGAGTTTTCTCTGGGAACTCCAGTTTCCTTCCACATCCCAGAGATGTGCCAGTGCAGTGAGCTGGCGTGCCTACAGTGCCCCAGTCTGGGTGAGTATGGGTGCTCACCTTGTGCCCTGAGCTGCCAGGATAGGCTCTGGCCACCTTTGACCTTGACCTGGAATAAGTGGGTTGGAAAATAATTATCTTACTTGATTTTATTCGCCTTTCTTAAATGTATGTATAGCTCACATTTATTTTGATGTTTAATATTAGAAGTGTTTAGGGCCTTAGAAGTTTGGCGATGTTTTCGTGTCCAGGAATATGCTGTAGGAACTTTTGTTTATATCAATTAACCTCTGGTAAAATTGCTTTCATTATACTGTGCATCGTTTGGCAAAGTCGACTTCCAAAAACGTATCAATGATGTTAAGTGAAGACTTGCTGTATGAGGAAACAGACTCAGTGGGGGGTGAGTAACACCCTCAAGGTCACACAGCTCAGAAGAGGCCCTTCTGGACGCTGAATTCAGGCCTATGGACTCCCAGTCCAGTGCTCTTCCCCTCACCAACACACTCAGGGTGTTCTTCACTGGAAGAGATTCCTGTATATGCCATCCATGAAGCCAGTGTCTACCGATTTGAAAATCAGCTCTGACTCACACCAGAGGGAGCCGCATGAAGCAAGGCCAGTTGCCAAAAAGTGGGGAGGAGAATACACACACACACACACACACACACACACACACACACACACACACACACACACACACAAAGGGCGCTACACATAAGGCCGTGAACGCGCAAGTGCCCCAATTGCTGGTTGTTTTCCTTCCAACTTGACACACATGGAGATGAAGGGGAAAAAAATCCCACAAAAATGTTCAGACCACAGGAAATATGTTGGCAACTGTCGGAGGTGTGGACAGAGGCTCTTGCAAGAACAGGCTGGTATGAAGCTGATGCCAGGGATGAGAGTGGGCCTCACTGCCCGGAGCATGACTAAGAAGAACTTTCCTTCGCTGCAGCCCAACTCCCTTTCCTCGTTACACTGGGTGAACTTTGCAGCCGGGACCCCACCAGATCAGGACCTGAAGCTATATAAGTGAGTCGTAGGATGTAAATGTGGAAGCTTGTAATCATCTAAGTGTGTAATTGTGAAAGTGACTAAGCATGGAGGAGGGTAAGCAGATGAGCAAGTGTGTAATTGTGTTAGCCTGTGAGAGTGTAAGCATGTATAAGGCACATGTGCCAGGAGGTAAATATGTAAAGAGGTAAATGTAAGCGTGTAAACATATCATTGAGTAATTATAGGTCAGGGAGTAACCATGCAATTGTTTAGGCAGAAAGTTTATAAATAAGTAAAGAGGTAAGCAGGCACGCATATAAATGGGTGAGCATGAAGGTGGGTAAATGTGAGCATTTGGCCTGCTGCTCGAGGTGAGACACTTCCATGCGCTGCACCGACATGTACCAAGGCTGTTTTTAGGATTTCAACCTGATCACGGTTTTGGCTTGTGATAGGGTGAGGTGACAACATCTAAGACCTATACTAGAGTGGTCTCAGCACAAAATGGCCTTAGGTTATTTGGGAGATTATTTCTACTCACCACATTGTCAGAGGCAGGGCATACAAAGTTCTAGTGCCTCAGTGTGCTGCAAGGCTTGTTCCCCAAAGTGGTCTTCGGCATCCGTGAAATGACTTCAGGTGGTGCGAGGATAAACACCTTTTCTATCATGACATGTGTCTTTGAGGAAAACTTAAAACTGTCCTCTAAAGTCATGATTTCATGATGGCCATTGTTTCTTAAGACGAGTTAAAACTGGTCATAGAGTCATGTGCCGCTTAACAATGGGGATATATTCTAAAAAATGTGTTGTGAATATAGAGTGTATTTACACAAATCTAGGTGGTATAATTGTATGTGCTATATTTTTATACAACTGGCAGCACGGTAGGTTTGTTTACACCAGCATCACCACAAACACATGAGTAATGTGTTATGCAATGACATTACGACAGCTACATCATCACTAGGTGACAGGAATATTTCAGCTCCATTATAATCTTATGGGATCACTGTTGTATATGTGGTCTGTCATTGACCAAAACATCATTATGCGGCTCATGACTGTACATGTATTTAAATTTTGAAAAAGTGAGTTGATCTCACTCTACAACTGGGGCCCCTACGAGCAGCCTAATTTGCCAGTGGCAGTAGTAGTGGCAATAGCTTCCATTCCACAACCAGGACAGCAAAATCCTGTGTTTCCCTGCACGAGGCATTGGGAGACTTAGGCCCAGTGGCTTCTGTCTACCCCCATCCCTGCCAGAGGTTCTCAAAGACAGCAAGTGACCCAGAATAGCACTTATTCCCCCACATATGGGACCAACAGGGATTGAACAGGAGTCTCAGCATCACTAGAAAAATGAA